ACATATGATGTTAGCCATGAGTTTTTTTGATAGATATCCTTTATCAAGTTGAGAAAGTTACCTTCTATTTTTAGTTTACTGAGATTTTTTATCACAAAGAGATGTTGAACTTTGTCAAATACTTTTTCTGCATATATTGATATAATCATATGATTTTTTTTTGTTTTTTAGCTTGTTCATATAATGAGTTACATTAACTGCTTTTCAAGTGTTAAATGAGCCTTGCATACATAGGATAAATCTCATTCGATTGTGGTTTGTAATTCTTTTTTTTTTTTTTTTTTTTTTTGAGACAGAGTCTCGCTTTGTTGTCCAGGCTAGAGTGAGTGCCGTGGCGTCAGCCTAGCTCACAGCAACCTCAAACTCCTGGGCTTGAGTGATCCTTCTGCCTCAGCTCCCGAGTAACGGACTACAGGCATGCGCCACCATGCCCGGCTAATTTTATGTACATATATCAGTTGCCAATTAATTCTTTCTATTTATAGTAGCAGACGGTGTATCGCCTCCTTTGTCCAGGCCTGGTTTTGAACTCCTGACCTTGAGCAATCCACCCGCCTTGGCCTCCCAAGAGCTAGGATTACAGGCCTGAGCCACAGCGCCCGGCCTGTAATTCTTTTTATATATTGTTGGATTCTTTGCTAATATTTTGTTGAGGATTTTTTTCAGCTATATTCATGAGAGTCAGTGGACAATAGTTTTCTTATAATATCTTTGTCTGGTTTTGGTATTAGGGTAACGTTGGCAACATAGAAGGAGTTAGGAAGTATTCCTCTGCTTTTAACTTCTGACAGATTTTAAAGAATTGATATAATTTCCTCCTTAATTGTTTGGTAAAATTTACCAGTGAACCTATCTGTTTCAGGAGGTTAGTAATTATTGATTCAATGTATTGGATAGATTCAATGTATTGGAGTGTTTTCAGATGGTCTATTTCTTCTTGTGTGAGCTTGGAAGACTGTGTCTTTCAAGAAATTGGTCCAATTCATCTAGGTTATCAAATTTGTGAGCATAAAATTATTAATAGTATTCCTTTATTATTCTTTTAATGGCCATGGGATTGAATCTGTAGTGATGTTCCTTTTTTCATTTCTAAATATTAATAATTTGTATCCTCTCTCTGTTTTGTTTTTTTCTTTTTTACTAATCTTTTCAAGGAGCCAATTTTTGGTTTCCTTGTTTTTCTCTATTGGTTTCCTCTTTTCAGTTTCATTGATTTCTGCTCTTAATTTTTATTTTATTTTATTCTGTTTATTTTGGATTTAATTTGCTCTTCTTTTTCTAGTCTCCTAAGGTGGAAACTTAAGTGATTGATTTTAGATTTTTCTTGTTTTCCAATACATGCATTCAATGTTATAAATTTCTCAGTAAGCATTTCTTTTGCTGCATCACACTAATTTTGATAAGTTATATTTTCATTTTCATTCAATTCAAAATTTTTTATTTCTCTTGAGATTTCTTCTTTGACTGATGTCTTATTTAGAAATGTATTGTTTAATCTCCATGTATTTTGGGATTTTTCCAGTTTCCAATCTTTCTGTTACTTATTTATAGCTTCATTTCACTAGGGTCTGAGAGCAGATAGTATATGATTGCTTTTTTTTTTTAATCTGTTAAGTATATTTTATGGGCTAGAATGTGATCTATTTTGGTTACTATTCCATATGAGCTTGAGAAGAATGTGTATTCTGTGATTGTTGGATGAAGTAGTCAATAGTTGTCAATTATATCCAGGTGATTGGTGATGTTGTTGAGTTCAACTATGTCCTTCCTGATTTTCTGCCTGCTGGATCTGTGCATTTCTGATAGGAGGGTATTGAAATCTCCAACTAAAATAGTGGATTTATCTATTTCTCCCTGCAGTTCTATCAGCTTTTGCCTTGTGTGGTTTGATGTTCTGTTATTAGATGTATACATGTTAAGGATTATTACATCTTCTTGCAGAGTTGAACCTTTTATCATTTTTATGCCCTTTTCTTTTAATCTCTGAAAACTCTTCTTGTTGTCAGGTCTTCTCTGTCTGAAAGTGAAATAGCTACTTCTGTTTTCTTTTGATTATATTGGTATGGTATATTTTTCTCCATCTATTTACTTTTAATCTATATGTGTCTTTATATTTAAAGTGAGTTTCTTGTAGAAAACATAAAATCAGGTCTTGTTTTTTGATCTACCCTGACAATTTCTGTCTTTTAATTGGTGCAGTTAAACCATTAATGCTCAAAGTACTTATTGGTATAATTGAATTAATATATGCCATATTTGTGACTGTTTTCTATTTTTTGCCCTTGTTCTTTGTTCCTATTTTGTCTTCTACTGTTTTTCTGCCTTTTCTAGCTTTAATTGGTCATTTTATATGATTTCATTTTCTCTCCCTTCTTAGAATTATCAGTTATATTTCTTTTTTTACTTTTTTTTAGTAGTTGCATTGCTATAAAAAATGCCTTACACTGGATAATATGTAAACAACAGAAATTTGTTGCTTATAGTTCTGGAGGCTGGGAAGTCCAAGATCAAGGCACCAGCAAATTCGGCATCTTGTGAGGGCTTGCTCGCTCCTTCAAAGAGGCACCTTCTGTCTGTGTCTTCATATGGCATAAGAGTAGAAAGTGTAAACATGCCCCCTTCAGTCTCTTTTATAAGGGCACTAATCCCATTCATGAGGATGGAGACCTCATGACTTAATTACTTTCCAAAAGGCCCACCTCTTAATACTATCACATTTGGGATTAAGTTTCAATGTATGAATTTTGGAGAACACATTCAGATCATAGTGACAACTGATCCAAGCTTACTTTCAAATAACAATATACTTCTTCACAGGTAGTATGAGTACCTTACAATCACAAAGTAATCCTAATTCCTCCCTTCCATATCATTCTCATTTATGCCATTTATTTCACTTATATGTAAGCATACATAAGCACATATATGTACATGTAATTAAATACATTGTTGCTATTGTAATTTTGAAAAAATTAATTATCTGTTAGATCAATGAAGAACAAGAACAAGAAAAATAAAAGTTTTTATTCTACCTTCACTTATTCCTTTTTGATGCTCTTCCTTTCTTTATGAAGTGCCAAGTTTCTGACTGACCTATATTATTTTCCTTCTCTCTAAAGAACTTTTTAAAAACATATCTTATAAGCCAGGTCTGTTGGCAACAAATTCCAGTTTTTGTTTGTCTGAGAAAGTACTTCTCTTTCATTTTTGAAGAATAATTTTGCAGGGTGCAGAATTCTAAGTTGGTAGAGTTTTTTTTCTCTCAACATTAAATATTTCATTCCACTCTCATCTTGCTTACATGGTTTCTGAGGAGAAGTCAGATGTAATTTTTATTCTTACTCCTCTGTAGGTAAGATGCTTTATTTTCTCTCACTTCTTTCAGGATTTTTTTTAAATCTTTGATTTCCTATAGCTTGAAAATAATATGCCTATGTGTAGTTTGGGGGTCATTTATCCTGATTGGTGTTCTCTGAGCTTCTTGGACCTGTGGTTTATTTTCTGACATTAATTTGGGAAAATTCTCAGTGATTATTGCTTTAAATATTTCTTCTTTTCCTTTCTCTTTCTTCTCCTTCAGGCATTACTGTTACCCATATGTTACGCCTTTTGTAGTTGTCCCACAGTCCTTGGATACTCTGTTCTGGTTTTTTCAGTTTGTTCTCTTTGCTTTTCAGTTTTGGAGGTTGCTATTTATACATTTTCTAACTCAGAGATTCTTTTCTCAGCTATGTCCCGTCTACTACGAAGCCCACCAAAGACATTCTTCATTGCTGTCACAGTGTATTTGATCTCTAGCATTTCTTTTTGGTTCTTTCTTTCCATCTCTCTGCTTGCATTGCCCATCTGTTCTTCTATACTGTCTACTTTATCTGTTAGAGCCCTTAGTATATTAATCATTGTTATTTTAAATTCCCAGTTTGGTAATCCCAACATCTCTGTCTGCCATGTCTGATTCTGAGGCTTGCTCTGTCTCTTCAAAACATGTGGTTCTTGTACGCTTTGTAATTTTTTTCTTGATAACTGGACATGATGCACCAATGCACCAGGTAAAAGGAACTGCTATAAATAGGCCTTTTGTAATGTGGTGGTAAGGTGTGGGAGGGGGGGAAGCATTCAACAGCCCTATGATTAGGTCTCAGTCTTCTACTGAGCTTCTGAGTTTCACAAGAGCTTCTTTGTCCCCTCTACACTCCCTTAGGTGGGACAGGATGGCTAGAATGGGCTGGAGTTGCCCCAGGTCAGCTAGGCTCTGCTAAAACCCTGGCAGGTTAGGCTGGTTAAATAGTTTCTCCTGAGGGCAGACCTTGCTAAGAACAGAATGCTCTGGAGTATTTCCGAATGGTTCCTTTTTTCCTCCTCTTGCCAGAAGCACAGAAGGATTTTTGCAACTGTGTGTGTGATATTTACTATGAGAACGAACCTGGTTGAGCTCCTGGAGGTAAAACTTCCAGAATTGTGGGAGCCCCCCATGACCGAGTCTCCCTGGAGTTTTTAACTCTGAGCCTCCAGCAATTCATCAATTATAATTCAGGTTTTGGTACCCTGGTACAAGTTCTCTTTGTGGTGTCTGCTTGAGTCTGCTCCAGGTCAACAGAAAAGGAGACAAATTCTATAAAATAATTTAAGGAGGTTTATTCTGAGCCAAATTTGAGGACCATGGCCCAGAGCCACACCCAAGAGCCTTGAGCAAGTGAACTTACTGTGGTTGGGTTGCAGTTTGATTTTTATATATTTTTAGGGAAACAGGAATTACAGATAGAATAATAAATCAATACATGGAGGGAATACATTGGCTTGGCCCCAAAAAGGCAGGACATCTCTAAGTGGGGGCTTGGAAGTCATAGGTGGGTTTAGGGATTCTTTAGCTGACAATTGGCTGAAAGAGTTAGGTTTTGTTCAAAAGACCCAGAATCAGCTGAAAGGAATGTTTTAGGACCTTCTGTCTTTTGTGTGATGTTATACCAGAATCAGGTTGGGAAGTAAACAGCATCATAAAAACCTGTTTACTGAGTTTTTAATCATTTGTAGGCGTGACTCACCAGGACCCCTTAGAAAGGAATTGGGGGGGGGGCAAAGAAAAAGATCAGAGTTCAGTCTTCATCCGTAAGCTGTGACTTCTTGTATAGGCCTGTCTGTCTTTCTGATCTTGGGCGCAGTGGTTTGCTCCGTGTCCTCATCTCTCTTACAGACTCAAGAAGAGCAGTTGATTTTTCAGTCTGTCCAGGATTTTGCTTTTTGTTAGGAGAGAGTGGTGACTTCCAAGCTCCTCACGTATGAGTCCTTACACGGTGTCTAGTTCACAGCAAGGACTCACTGGAGATGGCAGGTGGGAGGCATTTGAGGCCTCTCGGGTAAAGCATTTCTGGCATCTGGAATGCTCCATGGGAGCGAGGGAGCTCACTTCTCCCTCCTATCTCAGTCTGCACGTCTGTAAAATGAGAGAGTTGGAGTAGGGGGTCTCTGAGAGGCCTCCAGGAGGGCCGCCCCTGGCTCTGCACAAGACATCCTTCTGCAGGCAGTGTCGAGACTGGGCAGTGGAGTCCCATGGGGAAGGCTGAGAGCTGAGAGCAGGAGAAGCCAGGGAGTTCTCTCTGTTTCTAGCTGTTCCCTGGAAAGGGTTTCTGGGTGAAGAGAAATCAAGTGAAAAGGGGACCAGAAGTGATGAGCATTGAATTCTGTTTACTTTTTCCGACTAGTGTACCACTCTCTCACTGCCAGGAGGGGACCTTACACCCAAACCTCTGTTGGCCACTGAATGGCAGCCGAGGGCTTCCTATTCACAGCCCAAATAAAATCTGAACACTTTGCTGTACCAACGAGGCCCCGCGTGACCTGGTCCTGGCCATTCTCCCTAACCTCGCTCCCCAGCCCCAGCACCTGCCTTTGCTCTCTGTGTCCCGCTCCCCTGGTCTTCTACTTCCTGCAGGCCCCACTCGCCACTCACGAGGGCCCTTCCCCATGCTGATCCCTCAGCCGAGCACCCTACAGCCTCTGGCCAATGTCTGCCCACCCTTCAGGTCCCAGCTAACAGGTGGGGTCGCCAGGACCCCAACCACCACTGCTCCACCCCACAGATCCGGGTCTCTGTCTAAGTAAGAAGATCCTTACTTAGCACTTCAAGGCTGACCACCCTCCAAGCCCCTCTTCCTCCCTCACCATTCTCTGCCCACCCCAGGCTCATCCTCACTGGGCACAGGGGAACGGGCCACTCCACATGGCTTCAGCTGGCCAGGACCTCACACTGAAGCTGGCAGGGCCTAGGTTGGTGCAGAATAAACAGTCCTAATCTAGGCAGGCGTCACTTTACCCAAGAACTGGGTTTAGACACAGAATTCTGTGAATCTGATTTCCCCAGACCCAGGCTCCTCCCCAAGCTGCTGCCTCTACTCCCCTGGCGGGGCCTCTGGACACGGCCCAGGACTATGCCACCCTCGGGGTCTTTTGCCTCCCACAGTTCTCAGGCCCCCCAGCTCATAATCTCTCCTCCAAGATGTAAAAATATGTTTCAAGGCACTAACTAGGGAGGTCATTACTTCAAAGACCCTCTTGGCAAATTCTTTTATTGGCCCCAGTTTAAAAAGCCAGAGTCTTCTTATAATGGGGCTTCTTAAAGCAAGGGCCCACCTGTGAAAATACTGCCCTCTTTAGGGATTGAGCCGGGCAGGGAAGGCCAGGCACCAGGCCCTACACTGCTCCCAGAGGAAGGGTGGAAAGGAGGTTCAGAAGAGTTTAAGAAATGGTCTTTTCCTAAAGAGAGGGAAACTCCTCCTGGCCAAAAACTCCAGATGGGAATTAACGCTTTCAGGGTCTCACTGAGGCTACCAGCCCTGACAACTCCCTAGGAGGAATTCAGTGTACTAATGAGACTTTGGCCCAGCCAAAAACATTCATGCCTCAGCTCCCAGACCTCCGAGCAGAGCCTTGCCTCCCACCTCCCGGTGAGGGAGTAGCAGAGCGGAAGTCCCTGGATCTCCTGCCCCCAGATGTACAAGGCTCCCTACTTCTGGCCCATGTGACCTCAGCCCCTCCTCTGGTTGACATGGGGGAGCTGTCTGCTGTAAGCCTCTGCCCTCCCTCTGGGCTCCATTCTCAAGGAGGGTCACACAGGCATCCCCTCCTGCCTTCTCTGGGATTTCTCTCTTGCAATTAGCAGCCCCGCCCCCATTATTCAATCTCTCGCTCTCCATCTGCCCCTCCCACCCGCATTTTCACTGCTCAAGTGTCTGCATGTCAGAACCCTATAGCTCCAGCTCCTGGCCTAGCTCCCTCCTCCCTCCATCCACAGCCCACTTCTTGAAAGCACACACACCGGCTGTCTTCCCTTCCTTACCCCTAACTTACTCCTCAATCCATGGGAGTGTGGCTTCTGTACCCACCACTCTCCTGAAATTGCTCTCTCCAAGGACCCCAAAGGCCTCTCCTTATGGCTAATGCCAATTTCAGCAGCGTATAGTCATGTGTCTCCAACCAGAAGTGCTGCTCTTCCTTGCCTTCTCAGCACAGCACTCCCAGAGCTGCTCCTACCCTCTGGCCCCACCTTCTCATTCTCCATTCTGGGCCCTCCTCACAAGTCTATTTTTGACAGTCCTCCCTTTTTCTCATTACTCTACACTCTTTCCCTGACGATCTCATCCTGTCCATCCATGGCCTCAGTGACTCGAGAACGTTTATCTACAGCCCAGATCCCTCTCCTGAGCTTTGGACTTGCACATTCATTCCTTCATTCACTCACTCACTCACTCACTCAACAGACTGAGCGTTTGCTGTGTGCCGAGCACTGTTCTCAGGAACAAAACAGACCTAGTCTCTGCTTTTGGGGAACTTAACAATGTAGCAGAAACAAACAGTATACAAGAAAACGAGATCATTCCATGCAACATAAGTCCATTGTGACTGGGGGCCAAGGAGGCTGCGCTGGTCAAGTTTAAAGCACAGACACTGTGAGCATTAAGAAATAGGGGTATATGGTAGGAATAAGACATTACCCAATTGTGGGGAGAGCTAGGGAAGCCAAGGTCCTGAATGTGGATTTGGAGGATCAGAAGGAAGTCACTCATCAGGCCCCCTGAAGCCAATGTGCCCAGCCAGGAGTGGGGGCTGAGGAAGGTCAGTGGATATGTTCCTGGAAGACTGTTTCCTCCACCGCTGGAGGTGGGTAGGGCTGAAAGTACAGAAGGATTGCTCAGAGACCTGCCGGCTCTCACCTGGATCGCTGCAGAGTTCCCTAATTGGCCTGCCTGATGCTATTCTTTTCCTCTTCCAATGTCTCCTTCATAGTGCAGCCTGAGCAGTCTTCCTAAAATGCAGGCCTGCCCGTGTCTCTCCCTTTCTTAAAGTCCTTCTCCTCCTATTACCTGCAAGATACCTTTCAGACTCCTTCGCAAGGCTTCTGGGGGGACAGGCCCATCATGACCCTGCCTCCCACCCAACGTCCCCTCTTCTTCCCCCTCCAACACCACCTGTCCTTTCCTGTGCTCACCTCAGCAATCCCAGATCCTCGGCAGAAAAACTTAGATTCTCATGCTCTCACTTCCTGCCAGACCTCAGGACACTCTTTGTCCCCTTGTATTCTTCTGCTGACCAATTCTTACCCACCCCGCAGGGCGAGTCCCACCTCACACACATGTGGGCCAAGATCCCAAATTTCCCTCCCTGGGCTCTTATCTCACTGCTGGGCACCTGCAGGTTGGCTTGCCCATGTTTCTCACTTCATTGTCACAGCCAGTGCCTGGGGCATTGTAGACACTTGATAAATATTTGCTGGATTAACAAAAGTTTACAAGAGCTGTGCAATAAAATATAAATATGATTACATAATGCTCATGTAAAAAGTAGAATACAAATTTTTGTGTACAGTAAGATTGAGATTTGTAAAACAAATAGAAGAAAGATGTATGCATAGTAAAATAAAAGGGAGGGATGGAAGGAACTACATGTAACTGTTAATAAAGGTTTATATCTGGCTGGTGGGACTATGAGTGGCTTTTATTCTTTCTACATTTCAGTTTCATACTTTTTTTTAAGTTAAAAAAATTTTAACCATTAAAAATTTTTTTAAAAGCAATAAATTGCTCTCTTACCACCCAATCCTATTTTTATATTCACATTCCTTCCTAACCACATTTGTTCTATACTTCCGAGAATGAAGATCTCTGTCTTAGACACAGAAAGCCAAATTTTTGCTGTCAGTAGGAGTTGACTGACCTGTCTTCTCTCTGTCATCTGTTCCCAGATACCATCTGCCAGAAAATATGTTCCCATCCTTCCTTATTCTTCCTGCTTTGTATGACAAAAAGTAATAATGAGGCTTTAAGTTGTATCAGAATAGCATACTCATGGATATTTGTGGAGACATATGGCCCAGGTATGGACTTCCAAATCCTGCTTTCAATGACAAGACTTCTCCCAAATCCCCAGAGGGAATGTAAGCACAGAAGATAAAATAAGGCAAAGAAGCCCTTTGTTCTCAGGGGGGACTTTGCCCCAAGCCTAGTGCAGAACTGAGCCAGGTGTCCCTTGGCCACACTGGTTATATTCTTCTCTCCGAATGAAGCCAGTCTCAGCTCCTGGCTCTCTTGCTAAGTGAGGAAGGGCAATCCTGATCACTCCAGGACAGGGAAGAAAGTGTTGGCCCTAAGACCCAGAGCAGCAGAAATCCAGGGGAGCACCCCAGCAGTGGGAGCAGCTACCAGATTAATCCAACTTGCTGGCCCAGTAAAAGTCAGTAACTAGCCAGAGACTGAAACCAGAAGAGAAAGCACACCACTCCTCTGGCTTGGAGGACCAACCTTTGACCCTGAGCATCTTCATTATGGGAGGAAGAAGAGAGGAGAAAATGAGAGAGCAGCCTGGTCCTCCCACTAGAGACCAACACTTAAGTTGACTTTTTGCATGTTTCCCAAGCCTGAGCTCATTCTGGAATCTGGCTTTCTTTAGATCTACCAGAGATCTTTCTCTGATCTTACCAGAGAATACCCTTGGGAGCTTTGTATGAAACTATTTGAAATAACTTCTAAATACTTCTTCTCTCTCTTAGGTCACCTTCCTGTTATCATTTTTGTTGCCTCAGGCCATGTTAAGACATTTGAACTTGACCTTGTAGGAAAAGGGTGAGCCTTGAAAGTTGCCAACCAGTAAGCAGAGTTTGGTGGTTTACTGACCTGAAAAGAACGCTCTAGCATCAATATAAAGAGTGGGCAAGGTGGGATGAGAATTGTGGCAGGGAGAGTTCTAAGAGGTCATTATAGTAGTTCAGTGAGAGATGGCAAAAGCCGGAACCAGCGCCTTTGAGGAGGTGGGTCCAAAGGAGTAGGGGAAGTTTTGAGAGCCATTTCCAAGATAGAGTTGATAGGGTTAGAGGAGGGTGGTTAGAGCAGAGGAGGAGTTAAGATTGTATCCAAAGTTTATAGCTTGGGAAATAAATTACATAATGATAATTCTACTCAAGATGTGTAACACAGAAGGAGAAATAAGTACTTGAGGAGACAACAATGAGTTTGGGATGCCTGAGAGGCATCCAAGTAGAAATTTTCAATATACATTTGAAGATATGGACCTGGAACTTGGGGTAGAGATTGGGGATATAGATGACACATGTATGGATATTGATAGAGATACAAATACAGATACAGATAGAGGTGTACATATAGATGTAGATGTGAGTATAGATACAGATATTAATATAGATATATACGAAAGATAGACATAGACAGATCTAGATATATCTTAACACACATAATAAAATCCCAAACCAGGATGATAGCCAGAATTTTTTGATGTGGCCACTTAAGCATATCTGATAAAAACATGTAAGCAGTTAAAAATGATTTCAAATATTAGAGTCTCAGCATCTGCAACAATAGGAGTTCCACTGGAAGAAACATAAAAGACCAGACTGTGTGGGGAAATGATGACTGATTTCAGAGTTGTTGAGTTTGAAAGAATGGTGAGACATACAACTAGAACTGCTAAGCAAACAGACATAGGACCAGAGCTCAGGGTAAGTCAGCCTGGATATGTAGAATTTGGAATCACAAAAGCATAACATGTGAGAGCTGGGAGGAATTTTAGACCCCATCTAATCCAATATCCTCCTTTTGTAGATGAAGAAATCAAGACCCGAGTAGATTAAAGGTGCTCCTTGAGTTCATACAGCTGTTGCTAACAGAACCAGAAGTAGAACCCAAGTATCTCTATTCCCAGTCCAGACCTGTGAAGAGGTGGGTGTTGAGAGTATGAGGATGGATTAGACAACTTTCCGAGGGAGGTGTGTACAGAGCTGTCATGTCCTCAAATCATGGTGGCCCTGGGAGGTCTGAATGGTTAGAACACTTGGTTCGAAGTGACAGAAATTTATTTCAAAGCAACTCAAAGCATTAAAGGGGAAATTTGTTGACTGATGTAATCAACCTATAGCAAGAATAGGGATGGAACTGGCCTCAGGGATAGAGGGGTCAAGGGAACAAATACCATCTGGACTGTTTTCTTCATGCAGCTCTCTTATCTCTGTGTGAGCTCAATTCTCTCAAACTGGCTTTCATGCAAAACAAGGGACATGGTCACAGGCAGTCTCTAGACTCTTCTTATAGCTTTTGTCCTAAGAAGGAAAGGATTTGACTGGCTAGCTGGCATCATATCCCAATACTTGACCAAACTGTTATGATCCAGAACCCATCACATGCCATGGCTAAGAAATTATTTTTTTACTGGAAGAAAGAAGTTGGGAAAAGGTGCTGGGAAGAAAGTAGCAAAAGCCCCTCTAACATACTCAATGAAAGCTTTGAACACAGCTGAGAAAGCATGAACTTTAAATGATAAGTAGCATAACAGTATTGAAAAAGGGAAGGCTCAGAGAACAAGTTAGATTAAGATTCTTGGAACCAAGCCAGATGTCTATCTGCAAAAGATGATGAAGGAGGGTGGGAAAATAGGAAAGGATTAGGTGAACAGAGTGGGAGAAAGGAGAGAAGATAGATAATTAGTATGTGAGGCACCACTTGGAATACAGTTCACACTAATCCCAGAGAAGAGCCAGAAAGGGCTGATTGTTCCCTCCAGGGTAGGAGAATCTGGAGAGGGGGCCCTGAATGCCTAAATGGGCAATCAAAAGGATGAGTAAGCTAGGGAGAGGATACAGAAGAAAGATCTATGTATTAGTTTCTCCAGGAAATAGCAGTAATGGTAGGACCCATGAAATACGTGAATCATTCTTTGACAGGGTTACTAGATGCTATGGTTTGAATATATCCCCACCAAAATTCAGGTGTTGTCAATGTTACAGCATTAAGAGGTGGGGTTTTTAAGAGGTGCTTAGGTTATGAGGGCTTCTCCCTCACAAATGGAATTAGGTGTCCTTATAAATGGGCTTGAAGGGGCTGCCTTCCACAATGTGAAGTTACAGCAAGAAGGCTCTCACCAGACACCAGATGCTTTTGCCTTGATCTTGGACTTCCCAGCCTGCAGAATTGTAAGAAAATAAATTTCTATTCTTTATGAATAACACAATCTCATGGATTCTGTTATGGCAGCATAAAATGAACTAAAACACAAGGCTAGTAATTAGGAATGTGAAGAAAATACAAAGTTGCAAAAATAACAGTAACCCATAATCATCACAATTACCAGAGGTAATACGATTGAATTTCAAACATTGCTTTACATAAATGCTTGTATTTCTATAACAATATTTGTATTGACTTCATATAATTTTATTCTATGTAAGTATCATAATTTTTTAACCAATTCTCTAATAGCCATTTAGGCAATATTCAATTTCTTATAATTTTCTATAGCTAAACCTTTATGTACATAACACTTAAGACTTAGAAAAAATTTTTGGACATGCAATTTCTTAGAAAACAGTATGCATACTATATGCTCCCAAATTTCCCTTCAGAAAGATTAAACCAATTTACATTCCTGTTGGAATGTAAATATGTTGTGCCCTAGTTCTTTGTTCTTTTGCTAGCAGCATTCCTTTCCAGCTATTACTGCTAAAAATGACATGCTTGTCTAGTATTGAAAATATACCTTAAGAGTCCCTTTTCAAATGTTTAGGAACCAGATGAGGAGTAAAGGTAAAATATTATGTTTTTCAGGTTTTTATTGGGTTGTTTTTCTTTTTATCAATAGGTTCTAAGCCTTTTGGCTCCCTGAGCAGCACCATGGCGGTCGGCAAGAACAAGCGCCTTACGAAAGACAGCAAAAAGGGAGCCAAGAAGAAAGTGGTTGATCCATTTTCTGAAAAAGATTGGTATGATGTGAAGGCACCTGCTATGTTCAATATAAGAAATATTGGGAAAACACTAGTCACCAAGACTCAAGGAACGAAAATTGTCTCCGAAGGCCTCAAGGGTCGTGTGTTTGAAGTGAGCCTTGCTGATCTGCAAAATGATGAAGTTGCATTTAGAAAATTCAAGCTGATTACTGAAGATGTTCAGGGCAAAAACTGTCTGACTAATTTTCATGGCATGGACCTTATCTGTGACAAAATGTGTTCCATGGTTAAAAAATGGCAGACTATGATCGAAGCACGTTGATGTCAAGACTACCGATGGTTATTTGCTTCGTCTGTTCTGTGTTGGTTTTACTAAAAAACACAACAATCAGATACAGAAGACCTCTTATGCTCAGCACCGACAGGTCCGCCAAATCCGGAAGAAGATGATGGAAATCATGACCAGAGAGGTGCAGACAAATGACTTGAAAGAAGTAGTCAATAAATTGATTCCAGACAGCATTGGAAAAGACATAGAAAAGGCTTGCCAATCTATTTATCCTCTCCATGAGTTCTGGAAAAGCTACTGGTGATGAGACAGGCGCTAAAGTTGAACGAGCTGATGGATATGAACCACCAGTCCAAGAATCTGTTTAAAATTCAGACTTTTAATAATGACAAATAAAGTGTCCTATTTGTGATGGTTTGTTTCTGAACATTCTTTTTAAATAGTCTGACAGCAATCGGGAATCAGATATTCTGATTTGATAGCTGGTAAACTTTTCTGACTTGTTGTGTGGATTTTATTAAGTAGTTGAAAAGAGGATACTGTTTACCATTTTAAGCTGTAGTGATCTGGAAGTGTTATATAAATGGTTAATGAAAGGAAACTATTATATGTCTTAAAAATTTTAATGATTCTCATTATTTGGAAGGCTTATTAAAACATTGTTGGGCCCTGACCTCAGAATTTCTAATTTAGTGGTTCTAGGTGAGGCCTGAAGGTTTGCATTTCTAGTAAGTTTACAGGTGATGCTGATTGTCCAAAGATACTTTGAGAACC